GTTGTTGTCTATTTCCCCTTACAGCAGTAAGGGTTCCATTATCCAAGGAGAGCATGAGATGGGGCAAAAGACAGGAAGCTGATAATCAAGGAAAAGGAAATGGGCAGATACCACTTCCTATCACCTGGTTGCTAACAACCTCCAGGGGATGAGAAGGATCACACTTTCCAACACAGGCATTCACCCCTGTGGCTCTTCCTACCTTTTAATCACCACATAACATGGGAGGAGAGGACATGAGAAGAAAGAAAACCTAAAATCATGGAGGGGCAAGATACTCCCACTCCCTGGACACCAGCCCTGGGCTCCCTTCTCTCTGGAGGGATCCCTTTCCACCCTACCCCCTATTTTAGCCCTTAAATAAAACTTATTTTCTTGCCTCGGCGTTTTGCTGTTTGCTGAGGCTGGCTTTGAACTTACGATCCTCCCGTCTCAGCCTCCTAAGCCACTAGCCAATCCTGATTTTTAAGAGTGGTTTCTGGGCCCTCACCATCTACCTAGGCATCCATACCACCTTCCCCAGGCTGTGTCTTACCCACGGCCTGGGCCCCAGAAGACGGGTCCAACCCACTCCCAGTGGGATGGTCATGCCTGCTCCAGCCTTATTCTTCTGTCAGCAAAATAATCCTTGAGAAGATCTTCCAAAATGCCCTCCAAAAGTACCACCACGTCCTCAATCCACTAAAAGTCTCAACTGTTTTAACCCTTGACTGAAGAGTGGGTGTCACTGTGCTCTAAGCCCACGTTCCAGAGGCCACCAGTCTACACTCCCAGAGTGCCTACACCTGCTAAGCACTCATCTTGTTATCTGTAGCTGGTCACGCACAGACCCTGACAGCAAGCCACGGATGTGGTACTACGTGGATTAGCCCAGAGGGCAGGAGAAGCAAACAATTTAATTAAAAAAAAAAAACATTCAGATAATTGTCCAAAGTCAAACAGTGACTATGTGAGCACCCAAACGCCGAGGGACTCTGTCTGGCTGGACTGGAGCCCGGGAAGCTCCTTCTCCTGTGGAGATTCCCCAGGCTCTCACTATGTTCCCTTACACATGGCTGAACACTGACTGGCTTACATGCTGCCCCGTCATTTGACTGACACTTGTGTCCTCCTTCGACCGTTCAACTGAGCGGCTGTTATTTTCTAATTAAAAGTCTATTATGAACCTTGACTCCTTGTTAGATATGCGACACATTCTTTTGTTTTCACTTCTGCCTGGCTACCTGGAAATGGGTGACTTCTCAGGGAGCCAGGGGGTCGTTTCCTTCAGGGTGGCCCACCATCACCCTGTCCTAAGGAGGCACGCAGTGCTCACCGCGCCCCCCACTCAGGGCTGCGTTCCCAGCCTCAGCGCGTCTCGTGACACAGACGCGTCCCAGGCATGAGACACATAAACACACAGAGCGCTCTCCAGCTGCAGCTTCTAACATTGTCATGCTGTCCAAAACTTTGATCTTTTGAGAACTGTTATGTGACCTGAGGTGAGAATGCAGTTGTATCTTTGCCATGCTGACAACCACATGTCCGAATACCGATGTGAATCCCTCTGCCTTGAAACGCCACATTTATCAAAACTAAAATCTCCAACTCATTGTCAAGTTGGGGCTCCTGTCCTGTTTCCTGGGTTATCTATTCCCCTGCAGTGCCTGTCTGTTTTAGCTAGTATAGTTTATATGTCAGGGGACAAATTAATTTTATTTTCAAGGCAAACTGTAGAATTGGCTTTAATTTCAACAATCTCATTTTAATAACAGGGTTCAATTTTCAGATTAAGTTGGTGAGAAAGGACATCTATGGACCCTGAGGCCCTAGAGGCCCAAGTGCAATCTCCCCACCACCCAGTCTTCTCCCTAGCCCTACACAGATGTCAGGAATGTTCCCCAGGGAATGTTCTGAGGACATCCCCAAGACCTTGGCTCTGTGCGGTCCCCAGCAGTGAGCTTCTCTACATTGTGTCCTGGGCTGGGCTGCAGGAGGGCAGGTCCCAATCCCCACACTTCCCACCCCAAGCAGGGGAGCTAAGGGGTCCTGGGTGGCTTCATCATCACTAGTGACCACCACAGAGTCCCCCACCATTTCACCCCCGGTCTCCCACAGGCTTCCTGATCACCTAACAAGTGCTGGCACCTCCCTCCTTCCAGGGCGCCCTCTCTGTGCTTACCTGGCCCTGTCTGTCCCCCCAGGCGGAAGGCCACTTCTCTCCCAAGAGCACGCAAAGCAGCATGGCTGGCTTTTCACTACTCAAGCCAGAAGATCTCATGCCTTTCAGGAAAACAGAACAGATGCTTCCTGAATGATGGCCCCATCGGCTCCATGGTTCACACACCTGGCTGAGACCACAAACTTCCAAACCCCCACAGAGGCCTCAGCCCTCTATGCAGGGAGCCAGAATGTTCTCTAGTGACCACCGGCAGACAACTGAGGCTCAGAGAAGACAGAGGAAGAAAAGCACATACGACAAAATGGTTCCCGACTCCACACTCTGTGCTCCTTCCACTCCATCGTCCCAAGGGGGAGGGGTTGGTTGGGGAGCGGAAGAGGAAGGAAGCCCTGGATTCACAGCCCTCTGCCAACGGAGGGGAGCATCCTGTCCAAAGGACAGCCCACCTGAATACTCCTCTCAGGTCAGCCCCAGCTCACAGACATCGGCTGGCAGGGAAGTCCTGAAAGGCGAGTGACTCACCCAGACGGAGATTCAACCAAAAGATTTTATTGGGGGGCTGCCTAAAGGGGAAGGAAAGGAGAGGCAGGGAGGAGAGGAGGAGGGCAGAGAGCATGAGCTTGCAAGGTTGTGTAGGCGACTTGGTGGGTGCTGACTGGAAGGGTGACTCAGAAACTGTGAGCGGACACTGTGTCCTGCAGGGACTGGTGGAGAGAACTTTTGAATTTGGCGCCCTTCAGAGAGGAGGGGCAGGGGTCAGGGATTGTGTGATGTTCTCGGGACCATCAGCCAAGGAGGAAACCCTCGCCAGCACCCTGTCCAGTGAGACCAGGAAGCCCTGCCCAGTGTCCGAGGCTCCTGCACATTGCCAGATGGGGCTTAGGGACCTCCAGGGAAAGCAAAGGATCCGGGCAGAGTCACGAAGACCATAGTACCCACACATGGCACCTCGTGCTCAGAGGCTGTCCCTTCATGGCCACAAGCCATCGGCACAGGCTTCACAGGCCCCCGCACCACTCATCACCCAAATCAGCGGGGAGGGAGGCGCTCAGTCATCACGCAGGTGCAATTCAGGCCCAGCTGGACGGTGCCCAGGGTGGATGGCGAGGGTGGCGGCAGCACCCTCATGAGGCCTGAGACCCCAGGAGGCCCCACAGGCCCGACGAGCAGCACTACAGGCACCTGCGCAGCGGTGGGGGCGTCAAGCAGTGGCCTAAGCGTGCTGCTTTATGTCACAGCACCAGCCAACTTCAGTTTTTGCTGAGAACAAAAGGGGAAATTTAAGGGTGTGACGCCGAGCGAGGTGGATGCTGCCAACCCCGCTGCAACCTTGGCCGGGCCCTGTGATTTGCACCCTGGGGAAGCCTGCGGCAAGCTCGCCTCCTGAACTCTTGCCTTACCAGAAAGACGGATTTTCCTGGTTTAAGAAAAGGATGATCCATTTGATATGCAGCTGTAAATAGTCTTACAAGTAAATTTAAATAATGGTTGAAAACCCATTTAAACTGCTTTTCTCTTGCTGAATTAATAAAAAGAACACAGGATTTCCTTGGTGCAGAGCTCCCCTAACTGCAAGGTCCTGAGTTCCATCCCCAGGTTATGGATGGCACAGTAGTGCCCCAAAAGCTCCCGAGCGAGACAGTGCCAGGACGTCCAGAGGGGAAGGCTGGGACCCAAGCACTGGATCAACCCTCCGCCAGCGCCGAACTGGTTGGTGACTGCAGGCAGGTAGGTGTGGCTGCAGCGTCACTGAGGGGGTGCCTTCGAGCAGAGCTCTGCTTCTTGGCTGTCAAACTGAGCAACTGCCCTCCACACACCCTTCGGTCACCATGTTCTTCTGTCTCCCTGGGGCCCAGAGCTGTGGGCTGGCTGACTGTTGACTGAACCTCTGAAATCATGAACCAACATGAGCTTTCCCTCCAAGTTGCTCTTGTTGGGTCTTGGTCACAGTGACAAAAGGCTGACTAAAACACCCCAGTCGCTCCCTCTCTCTCTCTTTCTCTCTCACACACACACACACACACACACACACACAAACAGTCCTCCCAGCCCCTCCATGACAACACAAGAAAGCTGGAGGTATCCTGATCGGGGCTTCGCTCCTGCCAGCTTGTATAAACTGGTGACCAAAACTCCTCGTGGAAAAACAAGCCCCAGGGTCAGAGTGTCCTGGGCAGATCCAGGGGCAGCCCCCAGGCACCTGGAGCAGCAATGCTGTCCCCTCCCCTCCGCCAGGCCGCTCACCTCCTCTGACATGCCTAAGCTCTGCTTTGCCACACTGGACCCTGCGGAACACCAGGGGCAATCACAGTGGTCTCCTCTGAAGGCCTCTGGATGAAGTGATGAGCTCTCTGTGTCCCTAGGAGTGGACTGTGATGATGACAGATGACCCTGACTGCAGGTGGTCTCTCTTTGAAACAGGTTTATGTGTGCACCTTCTGCCAACTGTTTATTCAAGACCCAGAGAAAGGTCCTGGCTGTCCTTTCTCTCTTGGGGTGCCATGACACCAGGCACAACATACACAAACTAGTCCAGGGCAGTGTGCAAACCAGCCCAGGCGCATTCAACTAGATCCCCCGCTACCCAATCCCAAAGTGCACCTGTCCTGGAGGATGCCTTCTGCCTTCACAGGTCTCAGGAGATGTTTCCTTTAAAGGCTGATTATTGAAAAGGAAACAAGCATGAACATCAAAGTGGAAAGCTTAAATTTTAGCCTTGAACTATTTTTTCCAAAAATTGACACATCTCCTTTGAACATAAATTAGTGTCACTGAATTGGTAAATGCAAACTCCTGAAGAATAACTCTAGAACTTATAAACCACAGTCGAGGAAAACACTTAAGAATTCCATTGGTATATTTCCTCAAAATGTTAATAAGATTAGGATTTAATCTGTTGATCATAAGATACAGTGATAGCTACATACAGAGACCTTCACGAGCTTTATAAGTTGTCTTAAAATTTCTGGTAAATACTTACCTGTCTTATAAAACTTCAGTTAAATTAGAAAAGGGGTAAGTGTCACAACAGGAATGAAAAGACGTATTTTTCTACATACCTTTGAAAACTAAAAATCCAAATGCTTATGATTTTTCCATTTGTGAAATGAACTGTACAATCCATACACTTATAAAAAAAATAGGTGATCATTTTTACGATTTACATATAAAAGAAAAATAAACTTTACGATACAATGTGATAGACTACTTCACACAAGTCTGCTCACATACAATGTATGCAATTTCTGCAATGCACAAATCCTATTCACAGGGACAAAGTCATGAAAGGCATGTGGCTTAACCTGAAGCAAACAGGGACCACTAGGGATCACAGCTGAGCCACTCAATTCAGTAGCAAAGAGACTATAAATACCTGAAGGACTGTAACCAACAGCCCCTCCCACCGCAACCCGTGTGTCCTAGGAACTGGTCAAAAATAACTGCAAGATGCAGGTGGGAGGGAGAAGCAGCAGTGCCACCACAGGGTAGATCTCCAGCACCTGCTCCTGAGCCAGGCAGCTTGGGAGCCCACGGCCGCCCCAGGGAGGGTTTGCTCTGCACCTAAAACAAGCTGTGCTGCCCTTGCTGACCCTTCTCAGCAATGCTCACGTTTGAGGCAGACTCCTCAGTGGAGGCAGAAGGACCAGGATCCAGCCCCCAGGACCTGCAAGTATAACTCCACACACAAACCCTTCCCAGAGGAACTGAAGACCTTTGTATGCATTTGCAATATTGTATTTAAGTGGAAAACTAAAAAAAAAATAAATAAATAAATAAAAATAAAAAAGTTTAAAAAAATTAATAACTTTGCTTTAAAAAGCAATTTCCAAAAAAAGTGGATAACATCAAAAAATTTTAGGCATTGTTCCGTCCTCCTAAGTCTTCTTCTTGTGGCTTCTCCTGAGGGCCTGTCTCTCAGGTGCACAAGCCTGTGCGAGGAAAAGGAAGATGCTGCTGCCTCTCACAGAAGGGCTCCTCCTACAGGGACGCGGGGCTCTGCTCATGCTGACCGGGGACGCCCAGGGCAAGGCCATGAGGAAAGCAAAGGTGTCCCTGTGGCAACTCCATACCAGAGGAGCTCTGAACAGCCACCCTGAAACCTCTCTTGTCCACTGTGAACTTGGAGGGCCAGATACACAAGCACAAGTTAACAGGGCCCAAAAAAACGACCTCATAAGGACGCCCATGCGCTCACGAAGAAGGAGGAAACAACCCGGCGTCGGCACACACCCAAGGACACGGGCTCCCGTCCACCCTGCTCAGCTGGAAATCTAAAATATAACGTGATCGTTTTCAGGCCTCATTCTATGTATCAAGTGCCCATCAAAAAGTTCATGGTGACCCTTCGTTTGGGGCCTATGCAGTAAGCCCTGACTCAAAAACCAAAATAAAGAACATCTCCTGGTGCCGACACCGCTTACCTGCATGAGAATTCTGGTGCAGGACTAAACAGGCTACAGAGAAAGAGAGAACAGGCTTGCAAAAAAACCTCCCACAAAGGTGTTCTGAAGAGCATTTATAAACAACGGGGGCTCCAGCCGGGAGGGGCACAGGCCTCCCGACACACTCTAGGTACAGGCATTTCAGAGCCCGGAAGCTTCCCGACGGCCATGCAGCCCACAGTACTTCCTCCCAACGGCCGGCCATGCAGACACAGCACTTCCTCCCTGGAATCCTCGGCATTCACCTTCGCGACGTCAAGTTGATACTGTACACCATCTTCTGGATTTTCTCTTCGTTCTTGAGAATGTTGGCCTTCACAGCACAGATCTTGTCCTGCTGGTCCTGGATCATCTGCTCCAGCTCCGCCAGCTCGACCTTCAGGGGTTCCACGGCACAGTCCGTGATACTAAGGGAACACACCAGCGCACATCAGGCTGCCCTCATTTTAGATCTGCTTCTTAACTAACCCCCAAAAGACAGCACAAGTCCACTTCTATTGCATCCAAAGAAAAAGGGTACGATCTAAATCTCTGACCCTGATGACAAGAAGGAGCAAACCACTCACGTCTGGACAAAGTTTATTTCACATTTCCGCAACCCCTGCCACGACGAAAAGAGAAGTCAAATAGGAGACTTACTAAAGGAGGCCAATGTTTCTTAAATGATGGGACTGAAGTCCTCAAATTATATACTTGCCAGAGTCCCAGGGTTGGCCAAGAGGTGCACAGCAATTTCCCCATGGACACTTAGGACCACCATCTAGACGAGTCCCTTCCTGTCAGAGGACAGGAGGCCTTGCCACAGGAAGAAGCTGGCCAGGCCAGTAGGGCCTTCTGTGCCAGCCTCTCATCTGCTGCACTAAATAATGGGAGCGAGGGAACTAACATGACCTTGGGAAAGCTGAAGTCAAAACTAACCTTCCCTTTATGGTTTGTTGTTGTTGTTTTTGGTTTTTGGTACTAAGGACTGAACCCAGAGGCACTTAACCACTGAGCCGCATCCCCAGCCCATTTTATTTTTTATTTTTTGAGACAGGGTCTTGGCTCAGTTGCACAGCCTGGCTTTGAACTTGCAACCCTTCTGCCTCTACCTCCTGAGCAGCTGGGATTATAGATGTGTACCACCATGTCCAGCCCATTTTTTTTTTAATATATATATTTTAGTTCTTGATGGGCCTTTATTTTATTCATTTATCTATATGTGGTGCTAAGAATGGAACCCAGTTTCTCACATATGGTAGAGCAAGTTGTCTACTACTGGGCCTCAACCCTAGCCCCCCTTTAGGTTTTTAAAGCATAAAATATAAACTAAAATATACAACAAAGAAGAGCAATAGTTTTCTATCATAACAAAATCAGGTTTTGTAAGGAAGAACTGTCAAGAATGTTTTTTTCAAATACTTTAAATCAAAATGTAGGGGCTAGGGCTGGGGCTCAGTGGTAGCACACTCGCCTGGCACCGCATTCAATTCTCAGCACCGCATGTAAATAGCCTGTGCTCCCTCTCCAGGCTCCTCCCTCCTCTGCCCTCTCCAGGCCCCTCCCTCCCCTGCTCCCTCTGCAGGCCCTTCCCTCCCCTGCTCCCTCTGCAGGCCCCTCCCTCCTCTGCCCCCTCTTCAGGCCCCTCCCTCCTCTGCCCCCTCTGCAGGCTCCTCCCCACCTCTGCTCCTTCTGCAGGGCCTCTGCATGCTGCTTGTTCTCCGCGTGCCACAGCTGCAGTTCGTTCTGCATGGCGTCCACGTCTTCCTGGATGTAGTCCATAATCTTTCCCAGAGGAAGCGCGCTCTTACACAAGGTCTGAATGGACACTCGGAGCTTCTCGATCTCCTTGGAAACAATATCCTTCTCCTTCTTCCACGCCCACTCAAAGACAAAGGATTTCTCCTACAGTCAGGGAAGCCAGGAAAAGAAAGAAGTATCCTGAGTTGTAGGCAGGAGGGGGGCCGCTGGGCACACCACCACCGGGCTGGACAGATGGGCACAGAATAGTGACTGTGCTGGCTGGGGACCGTATCACTCCTAGGACACAGGGACCAACACAGCCAAAAGAGTAGATGTGAGGTGGCAGGCTCCATGGGAGCACCCAAGACAGGAAGGGACCAAACCTTCCCTTCTCAAAGGGAATGTGGGTCTGTCTGCACCTGTAAATTAAAATATCTACTCTAAAAAAGTTGCAAAATATTTGCAAATCATAGTCTTAAAAAAAGCCTGTATCTGGGCTGGGGTTGTGGCTCAGTGGTAGAGCGCTCGCCTAGCATGTGCAGGGGCCTAGCACGTGCGGGGCCCTGGGTTCAATCCTCAGCACCACATAAAAATAAAATAAAGATATTGTGTCCATCTACAACTAAAAAATAAACTATTTTTTTTTTTTAAAGAGAGAGTGAGAGAGATAGAGGTAGAGAGAGAGAGAATTTTTTAATATTTATTTTTTAGTATTTGGCGGACACAACATCTTTGTTTGTATGTGGTGCTGAGGATCGAACCTGGGCCGCATGCATGCCAGGCGAGCGCGCTACCGCTTGAGCCACATCCCAGCCCCAAAAAATAAACTATTTTTTTAAAAAAGCATGTATCTAATATCTGGAATATGCAGAGCACTCTCAAAACCCAATGGCAAAAAGGTAAACAAACGAGTCAGAAAATGGGCAATGCCAGATATTTCACTGAAGAGCACATGCAGACAACTGTTCAAAGCCATCAGCTGCGGAGGACATCCAAGTTCAAGGCCAATGAGATTCCTATACAACCACCACAACGGCTGATTGAAAACTGACAGCACGTCTGAGACGCTGGTCAGGAGAAATGACATTCCCGCTTGCTGCTGGGGGCATGGAACAGCACAACCAGCTGGAAAGCGCTTGGCAGCTTCTGAAAAACTAAATGTGCAGCTACCATATGCTCTAGCGACCGTCCTCCTAGGGGTTCAGCCAGAGCCATGACACCCTCTGTACACCCAGCCCAGACGCCCTGCAGGGGGTCAAGTGAACTGTGGAACACCATGGAATGCACCAGCAAGACAGGAAGGAACTTGGCAGGGAGCCAGCAGGACAGCCCTGAGGAGTCCACTGGGTGAGGAGGGTCCTGAGACACTCCACGGCCCTGCACACCCCAGGCCTGGAGGACAGCCTGGCAGGGGCCCGGGGCTGAGGGCCGGGGAGGAGGGTGGGCTTGCAGGATGCTGTAGCGGCAAGGCCTCCTGGTTGGAGGGTGCGCTGCAGTTCTGCAGGGTGCTGCCACAGGGCAGGTGGAGAGGGCACCGCCTCCTCCATGTCCAACTGCAGAGGACTCTACAGCTCCCTCAAAGCAACATGCTCACTTTAAACAGGTGACAGTCAGGATGCTGGCTGACTAAAAGGGCTCACCACCATAGTCAACTGTTTCCCAAGGGGGAAGCGCACAGTCTTTATCACATACAAACTAGAAAATCTCCCTGACTTGGAAGACAAATTGAAAATTCTATTAAGACCCACTCGCCATGATGATGAGGTGGCCCCCATGTGTCGGACACTGTTGGCACTGACGCTGGCCGTTCAGGGCTGTATGTGTAACTGTCTCACAAAGCCATGGGCTAGGACAAAGAAAGACACAAAGAGCTCACTGGTAAAGCGCCCTCACACTGTGGGTCACCCTGTCAAACCCTTCATATTTCTACATCATAGAACCAAGCACTACTCAGAACACTGAAGTTTATAATCCTTATTTTAAGATGCTAAGAATTTAAAACAAGATATACTTGGGTTGGGATTATGATAGTTTGTGAGACTCTTTTTTTTATTATCTTAAAGGCAATGGATCACATTTCCACAGAACATTAGAATTCTGGAAACATCTAAGCTTTCATTTAGATGAACTTGGCAGGGTAAAGATGGACAAATCAAGCAGTGACTATTTGCTTTAACAAGAACACACACCCCTCTGAGGACAGACTAGTTTTTTAAATTTTTTTTTTTTTAGTTGTAAGTGGACACAATCAATATCTTTATTTCACTTTTTTTTTTTTATGTGATGCAGAGGTTTGAACCCAGTGCCTCACATGTGCTAGGCAAGCACTCTACCATTGAGCTACAACTCCAGCCCCAAGACTAGCTCTTATGTAGCTCATGTAGGTCTACTGGCAACTTTCCATATAAATGTAACCTTGTTTTAAAGAATTTTAATATGTACAGTAAAATTTAAGAATCTACAACCATACTCACCATACAGTAATTAAGTCATATGAAATATTAATTTTTGGAAACAGAGTAAAAATACTGAAAATCCATCATTACACAAGATACGACCTAAACCAATCTAGAATGTAGCAGGTTCACGGACGCAAGATGAGCGGTCAGTCCTGCAGCCAGCCCAGCCATGCCACCTCCCAACTCTAGGCCTTTGGAGCCTGACTTGATCTCTGTACTTCAACTTCCTCTTGATAAAATGGAAATAATATTTATCTTACAGGTAAGGTTAAATGGGACAATAAAATAAGCAGCTCCGTGCCTCACATGCAGAAGCCACCCACAGGCATTAGTTCTCACCGTCAACTTATCCCCAGAAAGAAGTCGAAGGCCTCAGCAGAAGCCCAGGCATGCTTTCACAAACCCGCCAGCCACACAGCTCACCAGGCATGCCTGCAGTACTATGGTGCATGTTGGAAAAAAGATTATTTATACTACCAACCTCCACCAACAGCTGTATGTCCAGATCCAGATGGGTAAATTTTTTCATTAAAACACAATTTTCCACTGGGCAAGGAGGAAACTCACCCAGCAACCCAGGAGGCTGAGGCAGGAGGATAGCACATTTGAGGACACCCTTAGCAACCTAGTACGCCCCGTCTCAAAAAACAAATTTTTTTAAGCCTGCAAAAAGGGGAGGGGGCTGGAGATGCAGTTCAGTGTAAAACCTCTGGGTTTAATCCCTAGTATTACAAATAATAATAATAATAATAATTGACCTTTCTTAGTGACATACTCCCTTCCCTTTCTCCATTTTAAAATAATGTATAACCCCAGCTATGAAATTAACACCCAAACTCTTTTCCATAACAAAAGGTTTGATTCTGAGCTCTGAGAAAATCTGCTGTGAACCATGCAGAACTACCCACAACACCTTTTTGTGACACTCTTACCAGGGTTGTTTCTAAAAGCTGTTTCTAAAAATCATGCAAACAGAGTAGCACCCATGTTTCATGGGGACGCAGACCCGCTCTCCTGGCTCCTGCTTCCTTTTGCTGCAGACTAGAGGCTACTTTCTCAGCTGCCTCTGGCATGAAGGCCTCTGGCAAGTGTAAAAAGCAATTGGCTGAGTACTGCACACACCAGCATGCACACCCCTGCACACACCAGCATGCACACCACTGCACACACCACCATGCACACCCCTGCACACATCACCATGCACACCACTGCACACACCACCATGCACACCACTGCACACACCACCCACCATGCAACACCCTGCACACACCACTGCATGCACCATCATGCACACCACTACATACACCATGCACACCACTGCACACAATAGCATGCACACACACTGCACATGTATCACACACACCCTGCACATACCACTACACGCACCGTCATGCACACACACTGTACATGTACTGCACACACTACTGCATGCACCAGCATGCACACACTGTACATACTACCATGAACACACGGCACACTCTACCATGAACACACCCTGCACACACCACTGCACACACACTGAACACACCACCATGTGCCTGCACTGCACACACCCTGCACACACCACTGCATGCACCACCATGCACACACCCTGCCCACACTGCACACACCACCATGCACACACTATCATGTGCACACACTACCATGTACACACTCTGCCTATGCCACCATGCACACACACTGCACATGTACTGCACACACCCCCATGCATGCAAACTTTAGAAAATGCTTCCAAGATTTTTCTGGTGATCAGTTACCTACTGAAACTTAATACTATTTGCATTTTACTATACACACGTGCCTCCAGAAATGTGGACAATTGTTTTAAAATTTTTAAATTTTCAATCATGTATTATAAGTCAGACAGATAAAAATGATCCAACTTAGAGACCTATTCCAACTGCAATGCTTCAAGAGAAGAAAGTACTAACTGAAGAACAGTGTCTTATTGTCTGGCCCTTGGGTATTGCCAGAAGTCTCTCTCACAAGCAGGTGGGGGCCACAAGGGAGGCCAGGCCTCTGCACTGCCCCCACTCTGCTGCCCTTGACTAGTCATCAACCAGAACTCTACCTTACATTAAGCAAACCTAGTAAACAAAAGCACGATTAATTGGGGCAGAGGGTAATAAATCAAAGAGCATTTGCTTTAAACAACACACTTACCCTTGACCCCAGGGGCTGATTTCTACGAAGCCTGTCAAGAGTTCCTATTCCTCATCAACAGGAAAACCTGCATTCAAGTTACAAATGAAACGCTCGGGCCAACAGAACAATCGTGCTGTGTCACGTTCATCCAGAAGTATCCCACCACCAAACGCCTCTGTGAACCAGACATTCACCTCTTGTGGACACAGATCACCCAGGACCTCTCCAACACAGGAACAAAATGGCCCCTAGGCAAACACTGCCACCTTTTGATGCACATACAGAAAAGCACATTAAGCATGAATGTTCAGTTTAACAGAACAGTGAAGCGGAGAGCTGCAGCTGTCACTTGGGCTAAGTACGCACACTGCTAGCTCTTCCAGCTTGAGCACAGGGTCTGCACAGGTCCGAGGCCTGCCCTTCAGCCTGCTGGAGGTCTGTCTGGCCCGGTGCTTGCCTGCATGCTTGTTTTACTTAGCAGGATACAAATGGACTCATGAGCAAATGGACTCCCTACCTCTGCCTCTTCTGCTCAACATTTGGTTTCTGAATCAACCA